AGAGGGAGATGACTATTATAGTTAAATTAGAAGTGCAAAAAAATAAAAGTTGCAAGAAATAAAGAGAAGGAAGGAAGGAAGGAAGGAAGAAAGAAAGAAAGAAAGAAAGAAAGAGAAGGAAGGAAGGAAGGAAGGAAGGAAGGAAGGAAGGAAGAAGAAGGAAGGAGAGGGAGATGACTATTCTAGTTAAATCTGAAGAGTGCAAAAGAAGAAGAAAGGAAGGAAGGGAGGAAGGAAGGAAGAAGCAAGGAAGGAAGGAAAGAAAGAAAGAAAGAAAAAAAGAAAAAAAAGAAAGACAGCCCTTTAAAGACAGCCCTTTTAACTTCTTCTACCTCATTTGAACTTTGACATCCTAAAAACCGCCAATAATGCATCTTGAGCTAAGCCCCTTTAGAGAGAAAGCAAGAATTATTTCTCCTTTAGAAGGAAGGAAAAGAGAAGGAAGCGGGAAGAAGGAAGCAGAGAGAGAGAGGTGACTAACTATCCCAGTTCAATGAGAAGATACAAAAAAACAAAAGAAGAAAGAAAGAGAGAGAGAGAGAGAGAGAGAGAAAGAGAGAGAAATTTTCACTAGGAGGGAGTACCCTTTTTTTTTTTCCTTCTGTCATGCTAGGGAAAAGAAGAAAGAAAGAAAGAAAAAAAAAACGCAGGCACCCCGGGAAAATCCACTCGCGTGGAAGAAGAGTTTGTTTGGCACCCAGGGAAATCTGCGTCCTAACTAAGGGCCGTGAACCTCCGTGTCTGGAATGTAGGAATGGCATGTGCTTAGCGCTCGCCCTCCATGCGTGACCATCGCAAACAGCCGTTTCTCCAGAGGCTCCAACGAATAAAACACTTCCAGACTCAGCATAAACTGAGGGGGCACAATATGCTCTTGGGTTTTTGTTTTTTTTTCCCCCTCCTTTCTTCTTCCCCAGAAAAGATTTCTACATTCTTGTTCCTTAACTAGCAGTTACTATTTTAGTCTCTCTTCTCCTCCTGGCTCTTTCACCCTCTCCATCCTCCTCCCTCCATTCCCTTATCCCGTCTCTTAGCAACAAGTTTGGGCACCGGAGGAATTCCCTCCCTTCTTTCCGATGTTAACACCCTGAAGCCTTCTTTGGTTCCACTTCCAGCTCATTCCCAAGGATTTTCTGTTGTTGTTGTTGTTTTTCCTTTGCCCCCAAATTTGTGTAATCTTCTGACAACTACACAGGAGATAATGGTTCGGCTCAAGGTTTTCTCATTCCTTCCTTCCTTCCTTCCTTCCTTCCTTCCTTCCTTCCTTCCTTCCTTCCTTTCCTTCCTTCCTTCCTTCCTTCCTTCCTTCCTTCCTTCCTTTCCTTCCTTCCTTCCTTCCTTCCTTTCCTTCCTTCCTTTCTTTTCTTTCTTTTCTTTCTTCCTTCCTTCCTTCCTTCTTCTTTCCTTCCTCCCTCCCTTTTCTTCCTTCCTTCCTTCTTTCCTCCCTCCTTCCCTTCCTTTCTTCCTTCCTTCTTTCCTTCCTCCCTCCCTTTTCTTTTCTTCCTTCCTTCCTTCTTTCCTTCCTCCCTCCCTCCCCTCCTTCCTTTCTTCTTTCCTTCCTCCCTCCCTCCCTTTTCTTTTCTTTTATTTTCTTCCTTCCTTCTTTCTTTCCTCCCTCCCTCCCTCCCTTCCTTCCTTCCTTCCTTCCTTCCTTCCTTCCTTCCTTCCAAGGGGGAAGTGGACAGATGTTTGTATAGTTAAAAATATCTTATCCTGATTTCACTTCTTTAAGAACAATTGTATATTGAAAAGTTTAGCCGTCCTTCCTCCTTCCTTTTACTGACCCAATTCCTTCCTTCCTTCCTTCCTTCCTTCCCCATTGGTTCAGAGGAGCTCTTTGTTTGAGGGACATGGGGGATTAAGTCAAAAGGCTGGAAGATTTGGTCAGTGTTATTGTATGAAGCTTCAAAAGGAAATCAACCTGACTGTTTTTTTGGAAAGACAGACACTGAAGCTGAAACTCCAATACTTTGATCACTTAATGAGAAGAGGGGATTCCTTGGAGAAGATCCAGATGTTGGGAAAGATGGAAGGTGAAAGGAGAAGGGGACAGCAGAGGAGGAAATGGTTAGACGGTGTCATTGACATGATGGACATGGGTTTGGGCAGACTCTGGGAGACAATGAGAGGACAGGGTGTGCTATGATCCATGGAGTCATGAAGACTCAGACACAACTTAATGACTGAACAAGAACAAGAACAAAACATCATGATGGAATGCTTAGTAGACCATGGGAACACCAAGCAAGACAGTCAAGAGAGGAAACAGAGACATCACAGATTGCTGAATTTGGCTTAGAAAGCACGAAAAGTAATGTCTCAATCAACCCTGACTGTTCTTTGGAAGGACAAATACTGAAGCTCAAATACTTTGGCCACCAAATGAGAAGAGGGGACTCCTTGCAGAAGACCCAGATGTTGGCAAAGATGGACGGCGAAAGCAGAAGGGGACGGCAGAGGAGGAGATGGTTAGACAACAATGAACATGAATTTGGGCAAACTCCAGGAGACACTAGAGGACTGGATAGGGGGGAGGCTGACATGCTATGGTCCATGGGATCATGAAGACTCAGGCATAACTTAGAGAGCAAACAATAACAACAACAACAACAACAACACTCCTATGAAGCAGTTCTTTGCCTAAGTTGTTTATTGCAAGGTTGGGCAACTGTACTCGCTGTTAAAAGTTTTTATGCAAACTGGAAGTTTTCAAGAAGAGATCGGACAACCGTTTGTCTGAAATGGTATAGGGTTTCCTGCCTGAGCAGGGGGTTGGATTAGAAGACCTCCAAGGTCCCTTCCAACTCTTGTTATTCTGTTATGTAATAGGGAGGAAAAGAAATGGGCTTGAAGTCAACACTTCGAAAGGAAGGTTGGGGAAAACACCCCCCTAACACTGTGGCGTTGTGTTTATCCACACTTAGACCAGATAGCCAGCAAAGGAGAAGGGGGTAGGAAAAGAAATGAGGCAATTGTCATTTCTGAACAAGCTGTACTTGCTTGTTCCTGTCCTTGCAACCTACATCAATCATCAGTCACATCAAGTCAGCTATCTCCATGCAGGCAGACAGATCAAGGGCTAGGTCTCCCTTCCTGTCTGGGGCCAAAGATCCCTCCTTATTCCCATTGCATGAAACAGCCAGAATTAATTTCAAGACTTCCTCCGTGGAGGTCTGCTTATCACTCCTCGCTCACCCAAACCATGCATGTTGTCGGGTTGTTGTTTTTTTAAAAAAACCCAATCCTAACAATCTGTCCTCTTGTAGAGATGGTTTTTTTTTTCAAACACAGGTAGTCCTCAACTAACAACAGTTGAATAGAATAGAGATGGAAGGGACCTTGGGGGTCTTGTAGTCCAGCCTCCCCCCCACTCGAGCAGGAGAACCAATACCATTTCAGAGAAGTAACTGTCCACTCTCGAAGAAGAAGAAGAAGATGAAGACGAAGAAGAAGACGAAGACGAAGAAGAAGAAGAAGAAGAAGAAGAAGAAGAAGAAGAAGAAGAAGAAGAAGAAGAAGGAGGAGGAGGAGGAGGAGGAGGAGGAGG